AAAGTAGTATACGAATGTGTCTATGCTTGCGGCACTAGCGCACTGGAGGACGAACTGCACCGCGAGCACACCCTCAGTCGCTCGGCGCGACATGTGTCCCGCATTGGGTGCATGGACAGCATGACTAGCGGAAAAACTCTCAACATTTTGAATCGAACTAATGTAATTAACCTTGGCGAGAACCCATCAGAGCAAAGAGTGTCACGACAGGATCGGCGATCGCCAATCTGTCGGTGTCAGGCAACTGCCACAGAGCAAAGAGTGCATCACACTCGGCAGCATCGGAACTTCCTCCCCTGAACCCCAGACAACTTAACCAGCTGTTGGCAGCCCCAAGCGAACACCAAAAGGCAAGAGAAGCACATCTTGTATCCCAACCAGAGGCGGGGAGCGAGAAAGAATGGATCTCGGTTCCGCAGGCATGGTTAAACATGACACCCGAGCATTGCAGACACCGTCACACCCAAGGTCTAAAGCACAGCCTGGCACACTCCCCGCCAATTGTCCAATTGTGCACGCCAATCCAAAATTCCAGGTGTCAGGAGGATTGCTCCCCTTTTTCTCCGAGGATAGGTGGCAAGCACATTAGCGTCACCGGCAAGTACAGTTTGCAACTTCATGCCGGGCCCTTCCGAAATGGAAGCCGGAAGAGAGAGTCAAGATGTCAGAGCCGTGTTTGTGTCCAACAGGAACAGCCTGCTGCCGAAGCAAGCGGGAAAGCGCAAGAACAAAAGCGAAGCTCTAGAAAATTCCACTGAAATGCAAAAGGGCAGCTATAATAATATCGAGCAAACACTAATTGGCTGATTACTGATAAACAAGCAGAAAACTGAAAAAATACGGAACCATTTCAAATGCGACCCAAGGAGAAAAGCCTCCAATTTATCCTCCAGCAGAGCCTCCCTGCTAGTGGACCTAAGCACCCATCAACACCCGAAATGGCCAGACACTACCAAAGAAAATCGCCTCCGATTGTCGAAAGCTAAGAATTAGAATACGCATCGGCAAATGAAGATTATCCATTCAACATACTGACCACTTGTCAGAAAAACACCACGTCAAAAGTGGAAAAAGTCAATACGGCTCGCGCTGGAGAGCCACTAGTAACCAACCCGACCAAGTGTGGACAATATGGCGGAAAAGCCAAGGAAAATTTGTGCACAAATCCAACTACATGCCCCACGGCCGTCTGGCCAGTACATTGTTGACAGCGCGACATAGTCGCTGCAACCCTCTAGAGGGATCAGATCTGATCCACGATGCATGAAATGGTCCCGGCATTGAGCGTTGTGTGGAAACAAGAAAAGCACGAGATCCCCGTCGTCTGTAAGATTCCAAACATATCTGCAGCTCGTCGTATCGCGTGTCTCGCCGTATTCAGATATACGCCGTTCGAAGCGCAGCGCCCACTCCACGGTTCCCAATCACCAGATGGGCCCCAGCATGAACACAACATCGGGCCAATAGGTGATGGCGGATGTTTCTGAACCACTAATGTTCTAGAGTTCAAGACTAGCAACGCACCCACGCAGCTGAGAATTAGAACGCCTAAGTTCCGCACAACTTTGCGGATGAGGCCTGGCAGTCAGGACCCTTTTTCACGGAGATGTCAGCGCGGAAGTTCATCAAATAAATCTCGCTGATCAGCAGGATCGTCCGGATCACGCGTGGTTCATCATTCAGATCAACTTCTGCATGTGGACCACATGGACTTTGTGAGTCGCGTGACTCCTGCGGCCTTCCTGAGCTGAGCCCAGCTGTTAGCCTCGACCGTTCGGTTGGCACCCACCGCCGCTGCTGAAATTTCCCAAGGTCCAATTTAGACGCGGTGGGGGAGGTGTCATTTTGGGACCTACCGATTCACCTACATCCCAAGATTTCCTGATTATTGATTTCAATACTCTTGAAGGAAAGGCAGTTGATGCGATTCAAAGTGCACAAGGGAAGGGCAAACCCACGATCGCTGATGCTTCGACGGGTTGACGCAAGCACAGACGCAAGGCCACACCACACACAAAACGCCCGGGGCTTACATATTTGTTCACCCTTTCCACAACGAAGAATCTTGCCGACGGTGGCAACGACCCCAGTAACCGAACAAGACGAATCTCTTCGCACCCACAGAACACTTCTTTTCACATGACAGGGACCATCATCCATCAGCAACCAGCCATAAGACACTTTAGAGATGCCCACTCATCGCCAGAATGCAACCCAATTCATATAAACATACTCCGAATCAGATGGCATCTCCCACAACAATCGAATTGATGCTCACAAAAGTCCCATCACAGGAGAAATAATTCTGTGAATTCTAAAACCAATTTTTCTTTTCTTTGTATAAATTGAGAATGCCTTGCATGTAAACGATATGCTTGAAGTGCATACAAGTCGCGCACCATAATGCGTAAGTGATCCACCCAGCGAAACGGCGGTCATTATGCGGTGTTGCGAAGAATACCCTTTCCTTTCTCTAATCTCTTCGGCATAACTGGCCTTGGAATGCCCAGATAATGTCGAGCGGCCACCGCCGTAGTGAAACGGCATGTGGAGCTGGGCAATTCACGGCAGCGCATTGCGGTAGGGCAGTCCGAGCAGAATATAGAACTTGTCGTTCAGCAGCTGGGAAGCACAGAAAGGAATTTCAGGAGCGGTGCACGCTATTACCGTGCGGCTGTTCCCGTAAAGGGTGCATTCGTTGATTAGCAGAATCGCGCATTCGTGACATACTTAAGGGCCAAAATGCTCGCTGAACTATGTCGCCGCAATTATGTCACAAAATCACTCACATACAAGCTCACACCCTCCCAACCTCCCCGTCACTGCATCACGCTCGACCAGGCCCGGCATTGTTCCCCTACAAATTTCCAGACGTTTCTGCCGGTGGCCGCCAGAGGTTCCCGGAATGGCGGCACGTACAAGAGATATTCAGATTCACGCACCGAGAGGGGGATGTCGACCCGCTCTTCATATTACTTAAGGCAGGCATTCACAATTTCTGACGTCCTGGTTTTGAATTCGTTGATTATCTAGTTATTGGCAGGTCACTAGAAGTACTCCGCCACTTTCAATTACACTCCCAGTCCTGAATTAAGAACGCTCTTAGTTGACAAGCCGCACTGGTATCGCATACTCATTCTTCCATGCCATTGAAACTGCAGATAGCGCATGAACGCGGCTGGTACAAAAACACTACAAACGTGCACCACCAGGAACGGGTGGCTGAACATTGTTGGTAAATGTCTAGATTCGCCAAATGTGAGGTCCAGAATCCGGCAGATGCCCGCCGAAGTGGGCCCTACATTGGTGGAACGGCACCGTAGTTCTGCGGTCGACGGTTTGCCTCTTCAGCGATACGAGCTCCATCGGTGCCAGTGCTGACTCGCTTGCCAGTATTTAAAAGATGCGCTACAGCAGTTTAATTGTCTTATTTTGGAATTATTTATGTTTTATATTGCCATAGTTTGCTTGCTGAGTGTCACCCGTTGGTATGCAGCGAACGCCCTCATTTGAAACAAGTGTCATATATTTCTATATTTTTTTGTTATTTGCACATATACTTTGCTTTTTTATAATTCCGTATTTTCAAGATAATGATTGCGCTGCACCAAAGTGCATTCTCTGCAATGAAATTTAGCAATAAAAAACATACCATTGTGATCTTGAACAAACATCAGCAAAAAAAATTCCCACTGATCGAAACTCGAGTCTGTGCATCAAGTGAAATGCACACTGTAAGCATAAAATTTACATAATAATAATTATAGCACATAAAACCGTGCACCCTGTCTTGTGCCGTCCTGCAGAGCACGCAACTCACCCCGCAACACCAGAACACCGTAATCAAAATCACCGAAGTCATCAGCGCAATTGTCGTGGCCGCCTGAATGTTTGGCGTCGCTTGCAGAATCTGGAGCATGAAAAATCTAGTTAGTGTTCCACCTGAACATTTAAATTACAACACGCAATTTTCCACATCTGCACCTGCAGCAAGATATCTGCACATTCGTTTCCAATTTCTATTCGTGTAGGAGAGCGCACTCTTTTGAAAGCAATGTATTTCTCAGGCAGCCGGACTCAGTGTTCAAGTGTGGTAGTTTCAAAACGCGAGGCTCTGAAACGACGCCCAGTTCCTCGCTAAAGCTTGCTGAGATTGACGGCGTGCTCAAGATTCCAAATGAGAAATGCAACGGGATCTCGATAGCTAACGTCCACGCAATTAGGAAATGTTGACGCGGAAGGGGACTGGAGACAACATTGGGCAACGAAGGATGTACTAGCCAATACATATCAGATGTTTCAATGTCATTAGTGCCGATAAACATAGCAAATTCAAGTGATGCTCACTGCGTAGTGGCAGGCGTTGCGCTAATGTTTTCATCTACTAAAATGTTCATGCCAATGCGCATTTACAGTTGTGTGACGCTCCGATGCTGTCGCTCCAATATGCGAAAGTCCGAAATGTCGGTTGGCACTCACCCCTCGCCTGTAACCGAGCCGCGCAAGCGCCGCTGTCGTGTGCAATACGGCCAGGCATGCAACCGCGATTGCAAAAATCCTCAAATATCGCTCCAAGAATGATTCAGGCTCGTCAATTTGCTCTCGATCCTGCAGGAAGCCGAGCACAGATCAGGCAAGAAAAGAGAGTACCTCAAGTTTTTTTCAGTCGCACTAACGCACAGATACTTTGATTTGCGTCCCCGGGTAAAAGGCGCACATTGACGACGTTACCTCGCGGCCGCAAAAGGAGCTGAAGCATGGAAAATCACCTAATCGAAAAATTGCTATCCGTTTCCAGTCGAAATGCGCAAGTTGACATCCAGGATCGCCCCAATCATTTTGCCATCTGGAGCACTGCCATTTTGCAGCCAATTATGCTTCCGATATCCTTCACAATGCTTTGCTCATGCTCCCCTTATGCTTGCATTGTGCTTCCATTTTTCTCGTTTGTTCTTGAGCAAGGAAAATTGGCACCATGAAATGGGAAGACTTACGCAGCCTTAATCAAATGCTCTCACCGGATCTCGCTCGACCTCCTCGATCCAGCCCCGGAGTGGTCCAATCGAGGTGAGAATCATGAAGCCCTTGGGGCCATAAGGCTCGAAAGACACGATTCCCACCGCCAAATCCAGACCCTGCTGCCTCTCTGTGGCGTTCCACATCGTCCTGTACCCAAAGACGACCACGGGGCCACCAGAAAGACCTTTGATCACTTCAGCTTCGGGCGAATAGGCACACAACAGCCTCCCGCTCAATCCCGGCCTTATGGAACATTTCGAACCTTTCACAATTTGAAATCTCGCCGTCCTGAGGCCGTCATTTGTCCAAAATGCAAAAACGATGCTGTGGGCATAGACGTCGAGTATGGGATCGGCCAGGCGCGGGACCTGGATGTGGTACGGAAACGCCTCAGTGGAGAAGCTCCTGGCAAACCCCTTCCGCAGGACGATGATGGCAGCGTCGTACAAGTTGCCATCCCATTTGGGATGTTTGTGCAGCCGGTCGGCTCGGACCGCCTGCCGTGCAATTCGCCAAATAAGAATTGCGCCAGATCTTTGGCCAGCAAAGCATGTCTGAATATCAGGCTGGCGTCGCTGCGATGCCAATGCCACGCTGCCGTTAGCATCGCAAGAAGCCAAGCTGCGACCACCAGGACCGGACAGCTGAACATTGTTGGTACCTGTCCAGATTCGCCAAATGTGGGGTCCAGAATCCGCCAGATACCCGCCGAAGTAAGCCCTACATTGGTGGAACGGCACCGTAGTTCTACGGTTGACAGTTTGCCTTTTCAGCGATACGAGCTCCATCGGTGCAAGTGCTGACTCGCTTGCCAGTTTTGATGAAGATGAGCTACAGCAATTTAATTGTCATATTTTGGAATTACTTGTGTTTTGTATTGCCATAGTTTGCTTGCGAGGTCTCACCCGTCGGTATGCAGCGAACGCACTCATTTGAAACAAGTGTCATATACTTCTATATTTTTTGTTATTTGCACATATATTTTATATCTTTATCATTCTGTATTTTCAACATAATGATTGCACTGCACCAAAGTGCATTCTCTGCAGTGAAATTTGGCAATAAAAAACATACCATTGTGATCTTGAATAACCATCAGCAAACAATTTCCCATTGATCGAACCTCGGGTCTGTGCATCCAGTGAAATGCACACTGTAAGCACACATAAAACCATGCACCCTGTCTTGTGCCGTCTTGTAGAGTACGCAACTCACCCCACAACACCAGAACACCGTAATCAAAATCACCGATGTTATCAGCGCAATTGTCGTGACTGCCTGCATGTTTGGTGTCGCTTGCAAACTCTGGAGCACGAAAAATCTAGTTAGTGTTCCACCTGAGCATTTAAATTACAACATGAAATTTTCCACATCTGCACCTGCAGCAGGATATCTGCACAGTCGTTTGCAATTTCTATTCGTGTGGGAGAGCGCACTGTTTTGAAGGCAATGTATTTCTCAGGCAGCCGGACTCAGTATCCAAGTGCGGTAGTATCAGCACGCGTGGCTCTGAAACGACGCCCAGTTCCTCGTTAAAGCTTTCTGAGATTGATGGCGTGTTCCAAATTCCAAAATGAGAAATGTACCGGGATCTCCATAGATAACGTCCACGCAATTAGAAAATGCTGAGGCGGAAGGGGACTGGAGACAATGTTGGGCAACGAAGGATGTACTGGCCAATACTTGTCAGTGACGTTTCAATGCCGTTGGTGCTGGTAACCATAACAATATCACCAAGTGATGCCCACTGTGTAGTGGTAGGCGTTGGGGTAATATTTTCATCTGCTGAAACGTTAATACCATGCGCATTACCAATTGTGCGACGCTCCGATGCTGTCGTTCCAGTATGCGAAATTCCGAAATGTCGGTTGGCACTCACCCCTCACCTGTAACCGAGCCACGCACGCGACGTTGTCGTGTGCAATACGGCCAGGCATGCAAGCGCGATTGCAAGAATCCTCAAATTTCGCTCCAAGAATGATTCAGGCTCGTCGACTTGCTCTCGATCCGCAGGAAGCCGAGCACAGATCAGCGAAGAAAGGAATACACAGAGTACCTCGAGGTTTCTTCAGTTGCGGGAACACGCAGATATTTTTATTTGTGCCCCCGAGTGAAAAGCGCACATTTACAACATTGCCTCGCGGCCACAAAAGGAGCTGAAGGATGGGAAAATCGCTTATTCGAAAAATTGCTACAGGTTGCAAGTCGAAACGCGCAAATTGACAACCAGACTCGCCCCCCTCAATTTGCAATCTGGAGAAACTGCAATTTTGCAGCCAATTATGCTTCCAGTATCCTTCCACTATGCTTCCCTTATGCTTCCACTGTGCTTCCATTTTTCTCGTTTGTTCTTGAGCAAGGACAATTGGCATCACGAAATGGGAAGACTGAAGCAGTCTTAATCAAATGCTCTCACCGGATCTCGCGCGACTTCCTCGATCCAGCCCCGGAGTGGTCCAATCGAGATCAGAGTCATGA